GAGATAAAGAGTCTCAGGGAGTAGGGCGCTGGTGGCTCATGCTTGTAATTCTAGCTACTCGAATTAAACACCAGAAAACTGAAAGCAGAGCTGTGGCTCAAAGTGGTAGAGTGCTAGCCTTGAGAGCTAGAGGGACAGCACGCAGGCCCTGAGTTCAAGCCCCATGACAGACAAAAAGAAGTCTCAAGGATTTTCCTGCGCGCTGGCTTCAAACCATAACTCGCAGATCTCACCTTCCTGAGTAGCTAAGATTACAGGCATGAGCCACCTGTACCAACCTTCCAGAGAGATGTTTAGTTTGACTTGGAATGTTTTTTTAATATGAACTGAATTTCCTAATATATTGATCTATTCCTAGACTGTTCCGCTTATCTGTCTAATCTTGTTTCAACAGCAATATTAATATTAATACTATATCAATCTTATCTATCATTTAGTGATGCTGGTGATAAAACTCAGGGCCTGTACCATGCTAGGCAAGTACTCTATCACTAACCTGTATCCCCAGGATGTTTGTTTGTTGTTTTTACAGGGTTAAAGCAGCCATAGGGTTCACAGGCATCTCACTAAAGACAAGTACAGAAAGAAACCTGACACAGATGTAGTCAGTGCTTGCTATTAGATATTTACATAACAAACCCAGTCCTAGTACTGGCAGCAGACAGGGTTGCCAAAGAACAGTTAGTTCTAGGCACTGAGCTGGCTCAAGGCACTGTGGTCTAGTTGAGTGGCATTTACAGTTGGCCATGTCAGACCAGGGGATGGGGATCAAGCCAAGCTGAAGCCTCTGGAATGACTAGAGATTAGTAGAGTAAGGAGAAGAGAACACATGCAGCAGGCAGATGGACTGATGACAGGTCAGATGCTACCACACCCGAGCATCAGGTGCACTTCCTTTTATGTATTCTGGGAATGTGGGGATTACCGTATTCGTTGGTTTAGTGTGTTTGATAACTTTAAGTTACAAAGTAGGTCTTTGCCTCCTGGTTCCTGCTGCACAGGCAATGATGGCTTAGTTATCCAAAGAAGATCTGGAGTCATCCTGCCTCAGCATTCACACTGAAAACAGAAGAGATTGCTGCTTTATCAAATGGAGTCACTGCTGTATAATCATGGGATAACTTAGAGGAGGGCATAGCCCTCCACATTTATACCCACCTTGTTTTGTTCTAAAGAAACTGATCTCTGTTGGTATCTTAAGAGTCACACAGAATTTAAAATACAAGATCTTGAATTCAAGTTGGGCACTAGTAGTTCAGGCCTATAATCCTAGCTACTCAGGAAGCTAGATCTGAGGATCATGGTTCAAAGCCAGTCCATGAGACTCTTATCTCCAGTAAACCACTCAGAAAACGAGAAGTGATGCTGTGGCTCAAGTGATAGAGCACTAGCCTTGAGCTGAAGAGCTCAAGGGACAGCAATCAGGCCCAGAGTTCAAGCCCCATGACCACCACTAACAACAACAAAATCTTGAAATCAATACAAGCACCTGCTTTCTGGCCAGATATTTTAATGGAAAAAACAAAAAAGGAATAGTGACTAAGGATCTAACATTGTGTTTTGGTGGATGGAGAGTACTAGAAAGTTGTCTGGGATGTCTTTTTGCCAAACCTAGGACCAACACTGTATTGAAGACCTAGGCTTTACTTGTGCTTTCCTTTCCTACACTATGAAAGCAGTCAAGTTTCCATTCCCTCGATCCCTGTGGTTAAAAAAATTGGGGCTTGCCACTGATTATAGGCATGAGCCACTGACACCTATAATCCTAGCTACTCAGGAGGCTGAGATCTGAGGATTGTGGTTTAAAGCTAGCCCCCATGAGACTCATCTCCAATTAACCACTCAAAAACCAGAACTGGTGCTATGGCTGAAAGTGGTAGAGTGCTAGCCTTGAGCAAAAAGAGCTCAGGGACAGTGCCCAGGCCCTGAGTTCAAGCCCCACAACCGACCCAAAAACAAGGTGGGGGGGGGCTTGACATGTTGAATTGACAATTCCTTTGTACAACTACTTAGAGATAATTTTTTTTACTGTCACAAAAAAAAAACTTAGGGCTTACAGTTTGCACAACCATTATAAACAGAATAAAGCAAAAGCATCAAACCTAAGGTATAACTAATCCTTGAAGTAGTCTTATACACCAAACAATTAGAGGAAATATTTAATTTGGATTAATAATCATAATCTTCTATTTCAGAGGAATTCTTAAGATGGATGAAGTGAATGTTGTACCAGTGACAGCTATCAATGTTTATCTAGATGGCTCTGAGGACAAAGCAGAAAACCTTGAATATAAAACATGTATTTAAAATACCATCTCAAATCATGGATTCTGAACTAATCTCTCCAAATTTGCCACCTGAATATGATTTTCTTCAAATCATTGTCAGTTTTTGCATAAAGAAATTACCAAACTCCTAAATCTGCCTGAAAATTGACCTTCACAATGCCAAGTTAAAGTTGGCTTTTTCTGTAAGAGGGTCCTTGTTTGGATGAAATACTAAAGAAAAGCTAAGTGAAGGAGAAGATGTGGAGAGATGCTGAAAGCACCAAAAAGAAAATGAAAAGGTGAGCCAGAGAGCCATGTGCCAGTCACTTTCCCAGGTGCCTTGACTAAGGAAATTACATCCATTAACTGTAAAATTTTATAAAAAAGCACTTTATGAAATTTTAATTTAAAAGCTCAAGAATGTAACACTTATTTTTTTATTCAGCACAATGTGCCTTTCTGTTAAGCATGTAACAGTATGAAATCACTGAGAGTGTTATGATTTACCAGTGTCACGTACAAGACCACTTTTACCTTTAATGCCCCTGGACTTAAAAATTGTAGTGATATGTTCTCACTCTAAAATAAACTTTTTTTTTTACAGAAAACCAGTTAACAGTTACAAAATGTATTACACATCAAAACTGCCCAGCTGAGAAGCATATAGACATATATAGGATAGTGTAGGTTATGTCACTCACAATAGCTGAAACCAGCAAAAGGCTAGCATCAAACAAGTCTGTCATTATTGAATTAAAGTGCTTTCTTCTTGATTGTGTGGTCCTAGCTGTAGTGCTGGTTGCCCTACAAGTGTTTTTCCTTTGTCTGTTCCTGTTTTCCTTTTGAACTGACACATGTAACTTCTCATTACTCAGTATAATGCTTTGTTTTGTTTTATTGACAACTTTTATGCATACCTGAATCACAGTATTTAGTAGGTTAAGGTAGGATGATTAAAAGTTTGAGGCCAGCCCAGGCTAAAGAGGTAAGAGCCCATTGAAAACACAAACAGAATTAAAAATCTTATTACAACCTATCATTTTAAAATTGGTATCCATAAAAAGTACTGGCTGTTGGGTATGTACTGGAGCCTTGAACTCAGCTCCTGCTTGGCTTTTTTCCTCAAGGCTGGCACTCTTTAACACTTGAACCACAACTGTGCTCCTAGCTTTTTTTGCTAGTTAATTGGAGGTGAGTCTCGAATTTATCTGCTTAGACTGAACCTTGATTTTGAACCTTGATTTTTAGATCTCAGACTCCTGGAGTAACTGGGAATTACATATATAAGCCACCAGTGCTTAGCCTGGCTGGTTTTTTATTTTTATTTATTTATTTTTTGGGTCCGGTCGTGGGGCCTGAACTCTGGGCCTGGGCGCTGTCCTTCAGCTCTTCAGCTCAAGGCTAGCGCTCTACCACTTGAGCCACAGCGCCACTTCCGGCTTTTTTCTTTTTGCTTATATGGTGCTGAGGAATCGAACCCAGGGCCTCTGGCTTGCAAGGCAAGCACTCTACCACTGAGCCACCTTCCCAGCCCTTGGCTGGTTTTTTAAACCTATTTAAGTCTATTTAAGCAAAATTAATGTAGCTAGTAAAATAACTGAGTGGTACAAGCATGTAATACCAGCACTCAGGGGACTAAGTCCAGTCTGGAAAACATAGTGAAACCATCTCCAAAAACTAACAAAAGCATAAGAAAAACACAAAAAAGTCTCCAGCAGTAACTTTTTTCATACCCTTCCTTGTTCTGTACGTTATTAGGAAGCCTCAATTCTAAGATTATGGTCTTATTTCATCCATTAATTGTCAGTTTATAGACTCAAGTAAGAAGAAAACTTGAGAACATATGACCTGTTGGAGAGGATGGGCTCTGCTTTCAGCAGATTTCCTATCCCAGCTTTCCTTTCCAGAAAAACTTGGAACCACAGTAAGAACGCCAGGCTCCTTGAATCTGCTTTCTTTTCTGTGGTTGGGATATAATACATTATTTTCTTGTAAAGTCATACATGGGAATCTTACCTCAAACTTTTTTCCCAAGGCCAATATGGGTTTACTATTATTTACCTCAAAAATTTTATACTATTAACTTGTTTTTCATTTACTACCTTTCAGTAGGAATTTTCCTTTTCTTCCTTTTGGTATGCCAAGAGAGAGCTTCATGCTTGCCAAGCAGCCTCTATTTAAACCCATACTCCAGGCCATTTAGTAACTTTTTAAAAAATACTATTCACTGGCATGTTGGGCTACAGTACAATGTAATACCTACCTACACATAACACAGCCTCTTATGTAGGCAGAATGCTCAGACAAGACTGGACCTATTTTCCTCCTTTAAATTCACACTGAAGTGAAGATCCCAGAAAGTCAAGGGAAGCTACCATGACACAATGCGGGAAGGATAGGAATCTATGCTTTATTTAGCTACTTACTTGTCTAGTAATTTTCCATTAAAAAAGATACCTGTGTTCTAACCTCTGTGGTCAGTGAAACGGAAATCAGACAGTGCTAAAAAGAAAAAGAAGGGGCTGGGAAGGTAGCTCAGTGGTAGAATGCTTGCCTTGCATGCATAAGGCCCTGGGTTGATTCCTCAGCACCACATAAGCAGAAAAAGCCGAAGTGGCGCTGTGGCTCAAGTGGTAGATCACTAAGCCTTGAGCTGAAGAGCTGAGGAACAGCGCCCAGCCCCAGAGTTCAAGCCCATAACCAACCAAAAAAAAAAAAAAGTGAAAGAAATGGACCGCTTAAAAAATTGCCTTTATTCAGAATCATAAGAAATTTTTCAATGTTACCATTATGAAAGTTTAAAAAAATATAGCACTCAGTGCAATGAAACACTACATTTAATTTTTCAGAAAAAGACTTAAGGCGGGTTTCTCACAGTGTACATGTGAGATGTCAGCATGATCCAAACTCAAAAATCCACTTCTCGTATCTCTCGATATCTGCTGCAGATACTGACTTAGACACCTTCTTTAAAGCCATTTCAAAATCCTCCATAGTTGTGGGCATGTGCATTTCTTCTCTTGAAAGATTTCGGATTTCTTCTGGGGTCAGACCTTCAATACGCCTTCTCATTGCCATCAAGGATGCATCCCTATGTTTTAAGTTAAAAAAAACTGTTATTTTTATCGAATAAAAATTATGTATGTATTATTATGAGTACACAATAAAGAGTAAGCATCACAGACAGAAGAGATACATTAATCAGAAAATTAGGTATTTGCTCTATAAGAAGAGATGAATGGCTGGATGTGGTAGCACTGTAATTGCAGCTTGTGTGAGTGAGGTATAGAACAGAAGGGTCCTGGTGTGAGGCTAGCCTGAGCAAAAGTAAAATAAAGAACAAGCTGGGTATGGTAGTACATCTTTATAATCCCAGCTAAGACATGATTGAATCAGGTAATTGCTCCTTTGCCTCACTACTATATAACTTCATACTCAAGTATGTCTTCCATTTAATGACTCATCCTTAACTGCAGCCACCAGGTTGGCAAGAGACAGTGACTTCGCAGCCTCACAAGTGCACATGTTCTCTGATCTAGTGCTGAGCTCATGTTAGAGACAGGTAGCCAGTGCTAAGAGGCTTCTGTCAAGACTTAGATTAGGACAAGCTAGTTACGTCAACAGGACTGAAGTCAGTTTTTGTTTTACTCCTGTTCTCACCCCATTACGATATGCTCATTGCACACACAAATGTTAACTGTGCTCTGTGGGTATGTCACAGTCACTTCCCAAATACCAGTATAGTGAAATGCACCAATAACTTTAAATCCAAGATAATTCATTTTTACCCAATTGTTCTGATATGAGCTTCATGAACAAACAGCTTTCAAGTAAACTATAGACACTTTACTCACATGCAAGATACTCAAATATCTTACAAGCACCAGCAACCCTGTCACATGGATCTGTATTTCTTTTTTTTTTTGTCTGTCCTGGGGCTTGAACTCTGGGCCTGGGCGCTGTCCCTCAGCTCTTCAGCTCAAGGCAAGTGCTCTACCTCTTGAGCCAAAGCACCACTTCCGGTTTCTCTAGTGGTTTATTGGAGATAAGAGTCTCACGGACTTTCCTGCCCAGGCTGGCTTTGAACTGTGATCCTCAGATCTCAGCCTCCTGAGTAGCTAGGATTACAGGCCTGAGCCACTGGCGCCCGGCTGTATTTCTTTTTTTTAAAGAGAGCCTCAGCATGTAGCCAGTCTATCCTCAAACTCCAAATCCTCTTGTCTCAACTTCCTGACTGCTGGGCTACAGGCATGACCACCATACCTGGCTCTACTCTTTATCTATCTTACTGTGGCATAAAAACTTCATAATACAGAAGTTTATACTCACAAAATCTTTAGTTTCCACATAATACATACCTGCACACGTTGGTAATGTCCGCACCTGAATAACCTTCCATGTTTTCAGCTATACTTGTAAGGTTAACATCCTCAGCCAATTCCAGCTCACGCAGACTTATTCGTAGTAACTCCTCCCTGCCTTTTGCTAATGGTAGAAACACATTTTAAAATGTAAGCCATTAAGCACAGTGTATTATTTTTTTCTCAAGTCTATCTTGTATAAGTTGTTTTCTAATTTTTAGAACTCTGTTGGTTAAAATGTCAAGAGGTATATTCCCTTCTGCACCTTAAATTACCAAGAAATACAAGGAAAAACAGCCTACATTTGTCTTTTCAAGGAAGATTATCACAGAAATGGATTAACAGGAACTTTCGGAAAAGATTTAGATGACAATACCTGATGGTAGAGGAATATAGATTCGTTTTTCAAGACGTCTTCTTAAAGCCTCATCTATGTCCCAGGGGAAATTCGTAGCTGCCAGAACCATAACCATCTTGGAAGGGTCATCATTTTCAGAGGCACCTCCAACACCTGAAATGAAGAATAATGAGAGATATTACAGATATGTCAATCGATAAGCAAGGGAAAATGAGTTTTAGTAGTATGTAATGACTCAAAATAAATCACTTTTTTCAAATATATACATAACCTTTCCTAAGGCCAACTTAACTGAATGCATTTCTACTTCAGTTCCATGGATAAAAATGAGACCAGTAAATACAAATGCTCAAGCATATCCTATAAATGACCATAATTTCTTACAAGTCACTATTGCCAGTGTACCATATTTACACTCATCAAATCTCTAGGCACTCTGGTCCATCTGGAGTTATGAATACTGATTAAGTGCATTGGCACTAGGCGTAGAGCAGGACATACTACCCTCCCACCCCAGGTCAATCTATGCAGAGGTTTGTATCTACCATCCATCTGAACCAGCAGCTCTGCTTTCACCCTTCTGCTCGCTTCATGCTCCTCAGAAGTCCCTCGGCGACTGCAAATGGAATCTATCTCATCAATAAATATGGTGGCTGGGGAATAAAATCGAGCCTAAAGAAAGAAAATATGTAACATCAAGTTGCTTCCCCGCCATCTCCTCCCTGTTAAGAAACACAATGGTTTACCCCTTAGAGCTGCTAGAGCAGGGCACCAGCGGCTCATGCCTAGCTACTCAGAAGGCTGAGATCTGAGGATGATGGTTCAAAGCCAGCCCAGCAGGAAAGTCTGTGAGATTCTTTATTTCTAATAAACTACTCAGAAAAAGTCAGAAATGGCACTGTTGCTGAAAGTGGGAGAGCGAGAGCATTGGGTGAGAAACCTAAGAGGCAGTGCACAGGCCCCACAACCAACCAAAAAAAAGGAGGAGGAGGGAAGAAAGGAGAAGGGAAAAGGGAAGAGGAAGGAAGAAAGTAGCTGGGAAGGCTACACGATGCTCCTTTCCCTCTTGCCCCAAATACTGGGGGACAAGGAAAGAACGAGAACCACTAAAGCACAGCTTCTAATGCAGATTTACACACTTAAACATGATATGACAATTTGCTTCTTCCAACTATGGTAGGAGAATCCTCATAAATATTGGTAAGTGTTCTAATGCTCTACAAAAATCTAATCAGACTGACTTTTCTTTGGCATTTGCGACAAGCCTTGGGCCTCTGGCCTGGGTGCTATCCCTGAACTTTCTATACCAAGGCAGTGACTTGGAGTCACAGTTCCACTTGCAGCTTTTTGGTGGTTAATTGGAGGTAAGAGTCTCAGGGACTTTCCTGCCTGGGCTGGCTTGAATCCATGATCCTCAGATCTCAGTCTCTTGGGTAGCTAAGATTACAGCTCTGAAGTAGTTAATTACAAGAATCAATTATATGTGTTAATAGGTTTGAGACAACTCACATATCATAAAATTCATAGTATATTCACAGTATGTCATTAGTGGCCTAAAGAGACAGCCATGTTCTACCCTGCACACACAAGTATGAATCATCTAGGAGCTATGTATTTCATATCAATGGAATCCTTTTGTACCTGGCTTCTTTCATTTAGCATATTCTTGTTGTTGTACCTCATTCCTTGCCCCCCTCCCACTCCCTCCACCGCCTCAGTCTTGGGGCTTGAATTCTGGGCCTAGGTGCTATTTCTGAGCTCTGGCTAAAGGCTAGCTTACTACCACTTGAGCCACAGCACCACTTTGGATTTTTCTGTGTAGTTTACTGGAGATAAAAGTCTCACAGACTGCCGGGCGCTGGTGGCTCACGCCTGTAATCCTAGCTACTCAGGAGGCTGAG